CCTATGCCATCATTTCGAAAAGCTTGATTGATCTTCTGGAAATCTTCTTGCATGGTTTCCATTTTGGTGCTCAATTTATTGTTTTCCATCTTTAAATGACGTATTTGAGCCTCGAACCTTAGTAAATCTTCTTCTTTCTGGGCGCCTCTATTGATACCCTTACCTTTGAAGACTTTTGGTATTAATCTAGCAGGACCTTTGGTTATCAAACTAGGTCGATCATTTACCATAAATTGTAAGGTTCCATGATCCAAAAGACTTTGGACTCTACGTTTAAAGGCAAGACAATTCTCGATGGTATGTCCTTGAGCTCTGACATGATATTCACAATGAACGTTGATGTCATACCAATTTGGATACGGAGGTTGGAATGGTTTTATGTAATATGGAGCCACTTCCGTGCTTCAAGTAACTTTTCATACAACTCTTTATATGATATAGGTATAGCATCAACATGAGAACCGCCTTTTGTCTTGGATTGAACCTGAGTTTTAGATATCGAGAGCCTACTAAACTTCGATGATTTCAGGTTACATGATTTCTTCTTTTCTTGAGAGCTTTTACAATTGTCATTATTTCTTTGGTATCTCCAGATGACTTGTGAATACGGATGATGATTGTCTGTAACTTCTCCAATTGATTGGGATCAGAAATCCCTTGCATATTTGAGATTGCAGGATTATGTTCATTAAGCTTTCTCTCTTTCTGTGCAGGAATCTCTTCTCTTTTGGCCAAAACAGATATTCTATCCATCATCTTGGACATTTGCTCTCTTATTTCTCGTATCTCTTCTTGTTCCTTAATGGACACATGATCTCTAGGTGCATAGCTTTCTTCTATCCTCGGAGTTCCCTCAGGATGCCATTCCACGGTTGCGTCATATTTTGTTCGATCATAAAACTTTTTGTCCATTTATGATTTCTTTCCAATTTGATGAATAGTCTTTTCAGTTAATACCTTTTGGTCATGATTATGCAATGCAAACAAAAGAAAACAATATAAACAAATTAGAGCAAAAATAACATACATGGGAAAATAAGAAAAAATAAAATGGTTAATACCAACTAATTGAAAGAAAAAAATTTATTTATCATGGTATATAATAAATCCTAACCTCATGCTTTCTAGTTCCATGCTTTGTTTGGAAAATTTAACCTAACCGCATGATTTCTAGTTCGCATGCATTTATTCAGGAAAAGGAAATAAAATAAATTAAAAGCTAGAGCTTATTTCTCCTTTGTGTATACCTACTGAAATGGTTTCAGATCGGGAGAGTTTCTAGGGTTTATTATATGCAGGTTTTCAGTTCTAAGGGTACTCGAATTGTCCTTGTTGATGCCCCCTTGGGCTGTCAAAACCCTCAATCCTAGTCCATTACAGACTTTAAGCGGATCGAGTTCAATTCGAGGGGATACATTTCTCTATAACTGACACGGAGAATAAATTCTCACGAAGACATAGAGCATATGAACCCCGAAAGTTACTTGCTAGGTCTGACACGGAGAATAAATTCTCATGAAGACGTCGCTTTCACTCCCACTTAAAAGGACAAACTCAATTATAGAGCTTATGTAATGCAATGCAAGTGTTGTGTGTGAGGAGAAATGTTCAAACCTCTAACAGAAAAATAAATAATGAAAATACTTGCAAATAATAATATATATAAATACTATAAAAATAATAAGTATATATAAAAAATTTGAAAAGAAAGAATTATAAATTAAATATATGAATTTTTAATTTATTAGAGACAATTTATAATTGATTTTAAAAGTTTGAACGTCCCCAGCGAGTCGCCAAGCAGTCGTAACCTGTTTTCGTCCGGGCACGAATTTTTTTACTTGGTGGGAAAAGTGATGTGAATAAATGGTTTTTAAAATAATTTGGGAGTCGCCATCGGCCTTTTGGGTCAAGTAGGTTGAATACCTAAAAATTATCTTTTAAAAGAGTTTTTAAGAAAACATCAGTTAAAAGATGAACTGATCTGCGTTTATAACCAAAAATTCTTTCTTTTTAATAATAAAAAGGGATTCGTGGTCGGTTACGTTTAGGGAAGGATTAGCACCCCTACAACGCTCAAAATTGGTACTTTTTAATTATACATTGTCTCTATTATTAAAATTTAAGAATTCAAATATATTTAATTCATAATTATGTTATTTCAAATAATTTTAAGAAAATATATTAATATGTATAAATAAGATATTTATTTATTTAAAAATATCAGAAAATGGCTTCTAGGTGCTTTAAGACAGCTCCTTTCTTCGATATTAAAAATAAATAAATAACTAAAAAAATTTTTTCTAAAAATAATTAATATATAATTTATAAAAACAGGATATTTATTTATTTATGAATATAAAAAAAGAACTTCTAGGTGCTTTAAGACAGCTCTTTTCTTTGATATTAATAAATAAATAAATAACTAAAAAACATTTTTTCTAAAAATAATTAATATATAATTTATAAAAATAGGATATTTATTTATTTATGAATATCAAAAAAGAACTTCTAGGTGCTTTAAGACAGCTCTTTTCTTTGATATTAATAAATAAAATAAATATTAAAAATGTAATAATTTTTCATAAAAATGATTTAAATAAAAATAAATTATAATTTTTATAATATTTAATTTAAACAAATATATATAAATATATTTATAAGATTAAGATAATAATAAAATAATAATTAAAGCCATAATTAAAATATAAAAGTAATAACAAAATAATATTGTAATTAAATAATGATCAAAATAAAAGAAATTAAAATTATAAAACTAAATATAAAGTATTAAAAATAAAGATAATAATTCAAAATATTATGAAAGATAATGGTTAATAGAGTAATTTAACCTAATTAATTAATCGGTGATTAAAATAGAAATATTAAAATTATTAGTGACTAATTATGATATTTATCCTAAATATATTATTTAATACTGGTAAGGATTAAAAAATAATAAAATAAAATTCGAAGACTGAATTAGAACATTCAGAAGTTAGTTTCAGTGACTAAAATGAATAATTACAAAACTAGGATGGCTACGAAAAGGGTTTAGCCATACATGTAAATTACACAGGTACCCCTCATCAAAACGGCGTCGTTTTGATGAGGGTATTAATACCCAAACGGCCGGCCTCCCTTGGGCTATTGTTTCATTTGTCTGGTTTTGCTTCTCTCTCTAAAGAGAGAGAAGCTCTCATTTTCCTTCACCGGAGAAGAAAACCTATCTCCGTTTCCGGCGACGATCGCCGCCGCCGGCCGCCGTCTCCGGTGGCCGGAGATTACCAAACTACACCAAATTAAAGATCTCAACTCCTAAAGGCCAAATCCAACCTCCTTTTACCCTAAATCCCCTTAGATCGACCTAGATCTAAGTTTTTTACCTTCGGCTTTCTGATGACGCAAGGAGGCTCCGATGACTATGGTTTCCTCGGTAAGTTTCTCTATTCTCTCTTCTTTTGGTTTCTGTTGTCTACTGGTTGTTGTGGTTGCTCTCTATATCTCTCTTTTTTGGCTACTGCTCGCCTTCTTTTCTGTTTCTGTCTGTGTTTTCCCTTCTGTTTTCGTGGCTGTCTCCTCTCTTTCGCAGGTGGTCGATGGCTTTATAGCCATCATCAAGACGCTCATCGGACCGGTTAAAGGAAAGGAGTTCGGTGAGTCACCGAGCTATGTGGTGACTCACCATAGAGCTCGACATGTGGAGGGGCAGCTGGCTTCTAGAGGCTTCTGGCGAGGCGGCGATTTCGTGGCGTGGCACTGGCAGCTGGAACGTCTGGAAGCAACGGCGGCTGAATGATAACCTAGGGTTATGAAACCCTAGGGCTTCACGCTGGTATCCTGTGGACCGTTGGATCTTTCAACGGTTGATAGAAGCGGCGGCTGGGTGTATGGGATGTAAACCCTAGAAGGGTTCAGGGTTACTGTTTGGCCAACTCTGTTGGGCTGATTGATTGGGCCTGGATGGTTTGTATTTGGGCTTGTAATAATTATTTAATAATAATATAATATATAATAATAATAATAATAATTAATAATAATAATAATAATAATTATAATAATAATTTAATAATAATAAACGAAAAATTAGTGTTTACAATTATCATTAACATTAAATTATTAACTTAGTCTCATGAATTAAATAAAAAACCGTGTATTCTTCAATTTAATAACTTTTTTAGTCTTTGCCACCTTTTTAAGCCACTGAGGCTCGAAAGGTTCATTGGCTCAATTTTTATTTAGTATTTATTTGACATATAATTTTATTTATTATTTTTTAGAAAATATAATTCACTCGAAATAGTGAGATTTGACACCCCACCAGAGTGTAATAGGTGTTGGCCTTTAATTTTGTCCCTTTGAATTCTATGGACATACAAATCCATGACAGCCTGCAGAAATGTCTTTTAATAAAATTAATATAATGGTAAAAATACACTTTGCCCCCCACCGAAAGTTATAGTTTAATTTCAACCCATCGTTAAAGAAATTTTTAAATTTATCCTTATAATTAGATTGAATGTTGTTACTGATAAAAAAATATTATTTTATGTAAAAAATTTAAGTTCAAATAATTGTATTAAAAAAGACATGTATATATTATCAATAAATTTAAATAATTATAAATATATTATATTTTATAATCGTTTAAAAGAATTATCTTTACAATTCATATGTTTAATCACTAATAATTTACATATCAATCAAACACAGAATTGTTAGAAAATACTTTCGGATCGAAATAAAAAAGTAATCTTAATCTTAAAAGTGATTAAATCTGCATTAATTTCGATCCCAAACACAACTAGTGTAGGTTGGATGTAAACTAAAGTTAGATTTTAGAATTAATAAAAGGTAGGACCCAAACAAAGTGAGCACATTTCCTTTGACCAACCAAACCTTAGTTAGCCAGTTAGGTCTCAGGGAGCGGACCTATAAATGCCACACGTGTGGACCCCTGTCTGTCTGTTCCTAGCTTTTCTCATATAAAACTTTGAATCCCCGAAAACCAGGAATAATTCACAGAGAATTTTCCAGACTCATTTTTTTTTAATTTTCATTTCTCATTTTCCATTGGAGATGCCCGGAAGCTTAGAGCCTTTAGATTTGGTCGGTGTTCAAGTCCCTTACTATTTCAGATGCCCTATCTCCCTCGAGCTCATGCGTGACCCGGTAACGGTCAGCACCGGTCAAACATACGACCGGACCAGCATCGAATCATGGGCTGCTACCGGTAACACCACTTGTCCGGTCACTCGAGCACCGCTCTCTGATTTCACTCTCATCCCTAATCATACACTTCGCCGGTTGATTCAAGATTGGTGTGTTGCGAACCGGGCTTTTGGTATCGAGCGAATTCCTACTCCGAAACAACCGGCCGAGCCGGCCACGGTTAGGTCTTTGCTGAATCAGGCTTCCTTGGTTTCGAATACAGTTTCGGCTCGTATTTCTGCTATGGTTCAACTTAAGGGACTCACCCTTGACTCGGAGAAGAATCGTTCCGTGATTTGTTCTCATGGTAACGCACGTGAAATATTAATGAGTATTGTGTTTTCGGAGTCGAGTTCCGAATCTTTGGAGTTGAATCAGGAGGCACTCGCGGTTTTGGTGATGTTTCAACTCAGCGAGTCCGAGTGCACGGAGATCGCTTCGGATTTGAATAAAGTGATTTACTTATCGAAACTCTTGTTTCATTCCTCGATTGATGTTCGAATCAACTCGGCTTCGCTCATCGAAACCGTTCTCGCCGGAACGAATTCATCGGATCTCCGAGCCGAGATCAGCAATGTGGATGAAATCTTCGCCGGCGTCGTCGATATATTGAAGAATCTCAACTCGTATCCACGCGCCTTGAGAATCGGCGTTCGAGCTCTGTTCGCCTTGTGTTTAGTCAAACAAACCAGGCAAAAAGCCGTGGAAGCCGGGGCCGCCGAGGCGCTGATCGAACGGTTAGCCGATTTGGACAAGTGCGACGCCGAACGAGCTCTGGCGACGATCGAGTTGCTATGCAGGATCCCCTCCGGTTGCTCCGCCTTCGCGGCGCACGCGCTAACCGTCCCGTTGTTGGTAAAGACGATACTGAAGATATCCGATAGGGCAACGGAGTACGCCGCAGGGGCGTTGACGGCGCTGTGTTCGGAATCGGAACGGAGTCAGGGGGAGGCGGTGACTGCGGGCGTGCTGATCCAGTTGCTGTTGTTGGTCCAAAGCGATTGTACGGAGAGGGCGAAGAGAAAAGCTCAGATGCTGCTTAGATTGCTTCGGGATTCGTGGCCTGAAGATTCTACGGGGAATTCCGATGATTTCGCTTGCAGCCCCTTTTGAAGCATAACTACTCACTGCATTCCTTCTTTTAGGGCAAACATTCTTAATTTTCTTATTTTTTTCTCAAATGAAAAGAAAAATCAATAGTTATTCAATTTCAAAAATAATTAACATTTCGATCTTAAATCAGGTACATAGACGAGGCTGTAGTTTTCTTGTACCTAAGACTGCAAAATCTTTCGAAAAATAGATATCCCGTATCATTCTTTCTTTTTCTTTCTAATCTTTCAGTATATACGATTTCAATCATTATCTTTATTATTAACAATTTTTGTGTTGTTTCATAGATAATGATTTCATTAATCTAATAATATCTTTTAATAGTCTATTAAATTATTTTTTAATTATTTACAATATTTAATAATAAATCTAAAATTATTTTTTAAGCATGAGTATATAATAATATAATGTTTTTAACTGTAATAAATTTTAAAATATACACTATTAATAAATAAATAAATAATATATGGATTTTAGGACAAATATTGAACAATACCTATTGACTACCAACAATATATATCCATTAACTCGAGATTATTAAAGAAATAATACACTTTTATTTCTTTTGAGGTAGTTTAATAAATTCTAAATCCGATAATAATTATATGAATAGGAAGTATTGAATTTTGATGTGGATGGTAAATTGGTAATTGAATAGTTTATGAAATAATGATGATTTGATACGGTGAACGTGAGTGTCACATGTTTCGTAGCTGTTAGGCAGTCTTTTCCTGGAAACTAGAGTTGAACGTTTGCCCCTCGAAACACCTCACCTTGATTTGTTTATAAAATAAATGGATAATACAATTTTCACTCCCTAATTTTAACATTTTTTATAATCCAATCCCTAAACAAATTTTAGTCAGCGTTAATCTCCGAACTTAACTTTTTTTCTGTTTCGGTCCTTTTAGTATCATGACTTTCTGATGTTATGAAAAATGGTTCCTTCTTAGAGAGACCACGCCATGAAAATGATTAGAAAGTTAAGTTTAAAATTAATATAAATAAAAAATTGGGGATTAAATTAAGAAAATTAAAGGTTGGTTTATCCCTAAAATTAATAACTCTCCAAAACCTAAAAGTACAAAACTTTATATAACTTCATAGGTTTGTTTTAAGGTTTGAATTGTTATTGTAACTTTGGCTTGTGTAAGGGACACCACAAAATAGAAAACTTTGTCCCCCGACTCCAAAACACCACGTTTCATCTTTCAAAGTGGACCTAATTCTTTTGTCCAAGCCCTCAGGATTCGTACACTTATATTGATTTCGATTGAATTCGAAGTAGTCTGCTGATTCTTGAACACAAGAAAAATTCTCCCAACACTAATATTTTTTTACAGATTAATATTTGAGCTTTGATTGCAAATCGATAATTATAAATTTGTAACTAGATCTTTTTATTACAATTCTCAAACATAAGACCCTATTCAAGGAATATCGAATCTTTTATCATCCAATCAAATAGACTTGAGACTGTAGTTTCTTTTATCTACAAGACTCGAATTAAAAATAGACAAAGCATAGACTCTTTCGTGCTACCCCGCCTGCATGGTTTGAGGTCTACTAAAGAAAAGTGGCATTGGGACAAGGGTAGGATCCCCTCCCACCTACAATGTTGAAATGGGGAAAAAATGGGTGTGGTTTAAATTTCTTAAAAGATGATGGGTGGGTCACATGTTGGTGGGGATGTATAAACAGAAACCATGGAATCACATGGATTGGTCCATATTTTTCTTCATATGAGCGATGGCTATTAGTGCTCACATGCCCTAACCAACTACTTTGTACCTTATCTTTTGGGTCACTACAACAATTGGGAAATTCGTTCGTCTTTGTAATGTCCTTTATTACTTTTGATGCATTTGGGTCCCTGCCATTGCAGCCGGATCATTTGGGGAACCTTGAAATGATTCATTTGCAGATGGTATTTTTCTCTAGGTGAAGAGCGTTTTGGCATACAATACCACACTTATTGACAATACATGTGTGCGAGTTATCAATAATTATGAAAATTTATGAACACATATCAATCTATAATCAGCTCTATTAAAAGAAAAATATCATTATTTCTTTCTAGTAGTAAGATTAAAACCCATTACATGCATATTATTGCTATCTTGTTTTGTTCCATTCTGTTTATGTTTGTACATGTGTACTTTTTGAAAAAATAACCTCATATTTTTTCTTAAAATTTCCGAATATATGTGTGTGGAGACAAATAGTTGAATAAATAACAAAAACTGGGATTTGAGAAAATTATGCAATGAAACAAACAAATTAAGGATGAAAAAGAACCTAAAATATTATTATATTAAAAAAATTGAGAGGAATAAGGATGGGAAACTGTGAAGCCCTATCCGCCTCTGATGACCTTTCTATTCCAAAGAATCAGCGTCACCGAGATGAGGCCCCACCTGACCCCACCAATCCTCCAGCGCAACAACTTTGCTCCCACGCCCCTGCTCCACCGTTCTCTTGCAAAGATTCTGTCTTGGGATTGAGCGAAGCGCTCCCAGTTGAAGATCTGCTTTCGTTAGATGATGATGATCTTGATCTCATTGAGGAAGATGTTAGCGTAAGGGAATCCGATGGTTTTTCGTTCATAAATGTTTCGGATCGTATCCAAGCTATAGCGCTCAAAAGTATGGAACAGACCTTAGTGGTAAAGATCCTTGGTCGACGAAATAGCTATAACGTTTTACACGCCCACATGCTTAGAATTTGGAAACCTACGTATCCTCTGAAACTAATTGATATTGAGAACGATCATTTTTTGGTTAAATTCTTGGCGCGCATTGACTATCTCAAAGTCCTCTCCGATGGACCCTGGACCATTTTCGGACATTATCTTACAGTGAAACACTGGTTACTTGACTTTAATCCCACTCAATCCCATCCGAATAGGCTGATGGCTTTGATACGTCTCTCGAGACTTCCAATCACTTGGTACAAATGCAGTTTAATTGAAGCAATTGGATCAAGACTTGGTTCTGTTCTTAAAATCGATTATCAAACTGACAACGGACGACGTGGCCGCTTTGCATGTACGGCAGTGACAATTAATCTGATGAAGCCTCTAATCTCAAAGATTTTCATCAATGTTCACACTCAACTTATCGAGTATGAATCTCTTCTTGTGGTTTGTTTTAAATGTGGGATTTACGAACATACTAGTAGCTCTTGCCCTCAAAATGCTCCTCAAACTGACATTGTGTCTAGCAGTGGTGATCACCAACACCCTAAAGACAACAACTTTATTCCCTCGGATACATTTGGACCATGGATTCTAGTTGAAAAGAAAAAGTGGTGCTCAAATTGCAAAGAAATAAACCCACAACAGTCAACTGTTGCTGTCCCTAACCAGGCTACAAGCTTTGAACCCCTGTCGGATTTAAATACTGATATCGTAGTGCATGCCGCTGTTAAAACCATGATACAGACCCCAATTGCTCGATCAAATACAGTCTGTCCCTAGCCAAAGGCCAAACTAGGCTCTGGAAAAGAGAATCAAACTCGCTCATACAATTCCTAAATCCGAAGGAAAGAATCTTGCTTTTGCTCGAAAGCCTCTTGTTGTAATATTGGGGAACTGCAATATGAACATACCAATCGTTGCAAATTCTGGTCAGCATCAAGCTAACTCTAGTATGGACTCTAGAAACCAACAACGCCGAACTCTCCTTGATCTCTCGAAGCATGTTTCCATCGAAATGGCAGTTGATGATGCCCCGCCACTTCCTACTATATGGTTACTGGGGCGTTGGTTCCAAATGTGAACCTAGTTGCTTCTAGCCGCGCTATGGATGGTCCTACGACCATGATTGAATGATTTGTCGTCTCTCAGCTTTCTTTTCCCTATATAGTTTTTTATGGATTTAAAGACTTTTGTTTGGAATACACAAGGTTTTCGTAGTAGGAATTTTATTCGAGTTACTCGTCAATACCTACATGATCACCATCCTGATGTTGTGTTTTTGTTGAGACTAGGATTCGCCGTTCTAGAGCGGATAATATTATTCATGCCCTTGGTTTCCCAAACTCTCACAGGGTTGAAGCTGCGGGATTTTCGAGAGGTATTTGGGTCTGTTGGTATGATCATATTCAAAATGATGTTATGTTCTGTCACTTTCAATTTATTCATTGTCAGATTCAGGATCTGAGACATCATACAAAAGCTCCTTTTCTGGCCACCTTTGTTTATGCTAGTCCGAGCAGTTCTTTGTGAAAAGCTCTCTAGTGCTATATTCCTTCCCTCTCACCTGCTATCTCTAAACCCTAGGTTCTACTCGGTGATTTCAATGCCACTCTTCATCCTGATGATCGACTTGGTTGTGTTTCTTCCTACTATCTCTGACCCTGGGTCAATGTTCTGTTTGACTTGATCGAAACCTTGGCAATTCGTTGTGGCTTGAGGATTTTTCCATGTCCTCACTTAATCATCTTATGTGCATGAAATTGGATCATCGGTCTATTCTTATCTCTCTATATGGCTCTGCTCGACGGAGAAGACCTTATTTATTCAAGTACTTTTCTAGTTGGTCACTTCATCGTGATTTCAAGCAGTTTGGAAATGATAATTAGGCCACATCTATTCCACTCTATGAGGCTACCTCCAAATTCTCGACAATCGTTTCTCTCTAGAATACTAAAGTGTTTGAGTCCATTGGGCTCAATAAAAAAAATTCTTATGGCTTGTCTCCGGGGTGTTCAAATGTGTCTTGATCAGCATCGCACTCGACATCTTTTAGAGCTTGAATCTAAGGTGCTTTCTGACTTGGAGTCTATTCTTAACCAGGAAGAACAACTCTGATTTAGAAATCTAGAGCTGATTGGATAACTTTTGGTGATTGTAATACAAAGTTCTTCCACTCACATACCATTACACGTCGACGATAAAATACGATTCATAGGCTAAATTTATGGAATGATGAGTGGTGTGATGATGATGTTGTTATGAATGTGGAAGCCACTTCTATATGCTGATGATGTTCACTCTTCGAGAAACTTTCCAATATCGGGTAAATTTCCCAATCTAACTGACTTGGATGCTTCTTCTTTATCTACTATCCCCTCAGAAGATGAAATCAAATACGCCTTATTTGCTTTGGGTCCTCTTAAGGCTCCTGGTATTGACGATCTCCACGCTCAATTCTTCCAAAAGAATTGGGATACTATCAAGTCTTCAGTCTGCGCCATGATTCACTCAACTTT